TGTTTATTCTTTTTTCAGAATGGGCAAATTCAATGCCTAATATGTATTCAAAGTGCCCAGATCTTTTAGTGTGTTTTTTAAAATATCAAGTGCATATTCCTTTGACACATGTTTATTCCTTTCTCAGAATGGGCAAATTCAATGTCTAATATATATTTCAAAGTGCCCAGATCTTTTATTGTGAAACAATGATCCAAATGAGATTTAATGGCAACTATTTTCACAATGATATTACCATAATGTTTCTATCAGAGAGAGTAAATAAGGAGCAGTAAGCCACAAATTGGTGAAAACCATAGGAAATTAAACAAGTTGCGATTTTGTGGAACCATTGTCTTGAAGCCTGTTTTAGGCCATAAAGACTATTGGTTAACCTACAAACTCTATTATTATTTTTAGCACAATATCCAGGGAGAGGTTTCATGTAAACCTCTTCATCTAAATCCCCATGCAAAAATACATTCTTAACATCCAACTGATAGATTGTCCATTTCATAATAGATGTTAATGCAACTAGAAACCTAACAATAGTGATCCTGGCCACAAGAGAAAAGGTATCAAAATAGTTTATACCTTCCTCTTGTGTATAGCCTTTTGCAACTAAGCAAGCTTTATACCTTTCAACACTACCATCAGATTTATACTTGATCTTCAATACCATTTACAACTAATACAATTCTTACCTTGAAGAAGATTTGTTAAATACCAAGTATTGGTTTGTTCTAATGCATCAAGTTCATTTTTCATTGCAGCCTGCCAAAATGGATCTTTGGCAGCTTGAGTGTAAGAAGTGGGTTCAGTGAGTTTTGAAATTGCTGCAATGAAACATGAATGTGATGAAGATAAATTTGTTGTGGACAAATAATTTATAGGATAAGGGGTTGTCTCAAAATGAGTATGTTCAGAAGAGACAGAGTTAGAAGATGGTTTGATGGTGTGGTCATCAATATCTTGTAAGCTGGAATGTTGTGAGGTCTGTTTGATTTTCTTGTAGGGACAAGGGACATGCCTGTTTGATTTTGTAAGTTGGGTGAATTGTTAAGTATGGTGGGAGAACAACTGAGAGGTGTTGTGTTATTAAGGTATTGGGTATTTGTAGCAGGAGAAGGATTAATAGTTGACGGAGGATTGAATATTTGTATATTAGGGGGATTAAGTATCGTGTCTGGTTTTGAAAAGTAATCATCATGGGGAACAAGAAATAAATTGGGAGGATTCTCAGTATGAGGAATGCTCACCTACCCACGGTGGACAAATATTAATATGCCCACCGTGGGTAGGGAAGCATTAGCCTTCTCAATATTTGGGATGGCAAAAGAAAAAGTGGTTTCATAGAACTGAACATTTCTAGATATTATTGTATTCTTGGTATCCAAGTTGTAAAGTTTATAGCCTTTACAACCTAATGGATAGCCAATAAAGATGCATTTGGATGCTCTATGGGCAAATTTGGATCTATGAGCAGTGAGAGTAGAAGCATAACACAAGCAGCCAATAACTTTGAGATGATCATAAGTAGGCAGTTTATCATATAACACTTCAAAAGTAGATTTACCATGCAAAAATAGTTGTTGGAATTCTATTTATGATATGTGCGGCAGCCAATACACAGTCAATCAAAAAAATTAAAGGCAAATAAGCATTAAAGAGTAAAGCTCTAGCTACTTGAAGCAAATGTTGATGCTTTGTTTTAAGAAGAAAAGTTTGAGAAGATTAATTAAGTTAAGGAAATCAATTAATTAAGATAATTTATTAATTTTCTGAAGAAGCTAAAATTTATTAAATAATGAAGCTAATTAATCAAAGGCAACCAATCAAAAATTTATTCCATTAATTTAATGAGTTAAATAATCAATTTATAAATCCTTAAATATGTAGATTTCGAGGAGTCAAGCCCTCATCCTTGATTATATCATCAGTCAGTCACTACTGAATAACGAGGTGAGGATTCTATGTTGCCTACTATTCTTTATAATCGCACGATATTATGGTTGAGGTACGTGGTATGTGTAATTATGAGCTAGAACTTTCGACCTTTGGCAGTACCATTCTGTCGGAAGAAGATAAGATAAGACCTTCTGACATTTGGCAGTACCATTCTGTTATAAGAAATAAATATGAGATAAGTTCCTCGACCTTTGGCTGTACCATTCTGTCGGGGCAAACAGTAGCTTTTAGTTATTCATGTTGCATGCTTTTATTATGGTATCTGTTTTTATATTGAATATGTGCTTAGTATGGTTCCTCACTGAGTACTGGGATGCTCACCCATATTGTTTCCCATATTTCAGGTTGATCGAGTTGGTGCCGGACACGATGGCGAGGGCGGTCTATTTATTTATGCTTATGAAGTTATTTATGAATTTTTAGAACTATGTTTGAGATTATTTCGAGACACGTTTTCAGAATTGTTTACGAACTATGTTTGAGTTCTTATTAGCATGACTTATTATCTGCGTATGAGTTATGAGATGAGTTTTTGAGAAGATGAGTTAGCAGTTGAGAAGCAAGTTATTCAGCGTCTTTCCTTGTGCTCGCCTCCCTACACACGTCCAAGTTGATGCCTTCCGACGATACTTCATCGTGAAATACTGCCAAAATCCCTTCGGAGTAACCACCCGCTCCTCCTCCGACAACATCTCTATCTCCCGGTAAGTATATATTAACAAAGAAGAAGAATAAGTGGTAAAGTAGGGATTTTCACTAAGAAAGATTTGATTTTTTTTATTAAAAAAAAAAAGCATGTACAAAAAGGGAGAAGTTCCCCCTATTCATGCTTGACGCACCTCCTCCCAATCATTGCATCCGGCCGTTTCAAGGCGTGAAGTCTAAGAGAAATATCCTTTCAAACATATGTATTTATTACATGGTGCATCCCTCCGATAAAGGTTTTAGATGAAAAGATACGCTTCCCAAACGTAACCATCGAAATTGGTTGGCGGAAAGCTACCCATACGCATCGTCGCTCCTTTACACCTGGGAATCTAATGGCCTCTATGTTGTACCCCTAAAATTCTCATCACATAGAATGATGTGGCTCATATATTAATCTCAGCCCAAGTGAGCAAACAAAGCCCAAGAACACAAAAAACGCTCCTCAACTGGCCCATTTGACTACCGTTGGGGTTGCCGATCGCTCGATCGCCACGACGATCACCCATACTGGCTTCTCGGAGAAGAGTGTCGATCGCTCTGCTCGTCTGAACACACTCTGGCAAAGTTGGTAGCACCGCCCTAACCTGTCACATCTTCAAAAGGTGGTCCTTACATGGATACTTGCGACATCATCCTATGTCTCTTGGTGGCATAATGCCTTTAATGTGAAAACCCTAATTTTGGTTACAAAATCCAAACTCTGTTAAAGGTGAGGGAGGGGGGACGTAAGATCGATATCACTGTCACCACCTTATAATATTCATCGCTATTATTACTTATTCTCTCAAAAAAACATACCAGCAAATCTACTATCTTTGTATTTCGGGTCATGAGCCACACATGTATTTCATTAATAAAACGGGCTCGGAGATCCAAATCTCCTCGTAGCACCCGTTTACGGGCCGACGAAATATTTCATTAATAAAACGGGCTCGGAGATCCAAATCTCCTTGTAGCACCCGTTTACGGGCCAGCGAAATCAGTGTACATTTCGCAGTTATATTTTTACTAGAATCAACCCCCTAAACTGTTAGGATAGCAAATAAACCCAATTTTGTTGCCTTAATTACACATACCTTATAATCGTTGACGTCCTACCGTCAAACACAAAGTTCATTTAGATAAAAAGTATGCAAATGTTGGTTCATCATAATAAATAATATATTGTAGTTTATAATTTGTTATTCTTATTATTATATTAATTTTTCATCATTAGTTAACTTTTAAGAAAAAATCTATACTCTTTATATGATTATATTTATATAAAATAAAATGTATATCATTTTAGATATTAGTTCTTACAAATACAATTATATTATTATGAATATTAATATTTATACATAATTCTCATATTATTATTCTCATATTATTATTATAATACAGCAAAATAATGGCAGTAAAACAAAATTGGGGAGATTCTACGGTCTCGTTACGGGACCATTCCGTCAAGATTTGTAACCGTTAGATCAACTATCCATAACGGTTACTTCATGATCTAACGGTTATAAATCCAGACGGAATAGTTCCGCCCCAAAATTGACTACTATTTGTTCAAGTCAAAGATTAAGTTACTGATGATTATCTTAATCTTAAATGAAAATTATTCCACAATAAACTAACAGCGATCAGAAAAAACCGACCTATTGCAACAAAAAAAACCCGCAAAAATTGATAACTGAAAATACAAAAAATAAATAAAATCATTGAACTGAATTGAATGGTGTTTGACAAATTCAATGCATTCACATGATTTTCCTTCCTTATATTTTTATCATTTATTACTATTTTATTTATTTCTTCATTTATTAGTAATAATAAAATAATAATCAGCGAATATATTAAAAAAAAAAAAACGGAAAAAGGGACAGATTCCAGGTAACAACTTCGTCTCTTTAAATGTAGAAATCTTCTCAATAACCTATTTTTCGTTTTGAACTTTTCTTTTGCAGAGTGTACGTTACTTTTGTCTCTCTCTGTTTTTTTTTTTTTTTTTTTTTT